TTATAAACATATCTATGACTTAAGGTCATAAGAAATGGAAAATATTCAATGTTTAACAGAAACAACTGACCATCTTAGCAACTAAACTAGCATTTCTCTACCAGTACACCTAGGCACACTAATGTGGCCTGAAAGATAGCCAGGTGTGCCACAAGTTAACAGAAGTGTAATTTATGAATTATATTTTAAAAAATCTTTGTTTTTAAAAAGCTAAAAACAGGAAGTATATGATTTTCATGTTGAAGTCAAGTCTTTGTCATTTGATATTTCAAATGACCGGATGCTAAATTCTGTAATCTTTAAGAAAGAGTGGATAATCCTTTTGTTTTTGCTTCCTTCAAGTCATTAAAACAAAGTAGATTCTTCATAAATCCCTTTAAATGAAAACTGTACTGCTAATCTTCTTTGCAGATGCTAAACCAAAATCTCCTGACTAATTTTTCATTATTAAAATTTAAAGTGAACCCCAGAGTTTTAGTTATTCTACAAGTGCACCCTGAAGTAAAAAAAGGTTGAGAAACACTGAACTAAACTATAAAGGTTTTGTTGCTTCTTACATATATTTTCTTTTTTAAAATTTATTCTCAAAGAAATAGACTATACAAAAATAGGTGGATCTTCAATATATGAGCTATTTTATTGCTCATACATTTTAATTAGTCTTTCTAAGTATACCTGTACCAATGGTCTCTTCTGTTACCATAGTTTTGGCCAGTCCCTTCTACAGCCTTCCTCGTATGTACAATTTAAATGGGAAGGTGGATCCTTTTTGGGATTGTAGAAAAACTAAAATAATGTTGGCCAAAGAGAAGGGTGTTAAATCTGCTGGTTGGATCACTAAATTGTAGAAAACCTCATAGCAATACATGTAAGAGAGGCAAGTTCATATTTTATACAAGATGTTGCCTTCCAATTTTCATTTGCTAAAAGATATCCACACCAACCTGATTTATACATTTATCTGCAAAGTTAATGAACAGCTTCCTTTAATGAGATAGTTTTAAAAAAAAAAAAATCTGGAAAAATAATAATGACTTACCTAAAAAGGTGAAAAAATTTTTATTGAATATCTAAAGCAACAACCAGCCAATAATTGACAAGATCCGAAGATAAATAATGAACTTTATATTCTTTGTGAATACTTCTCTTAAACTTATCAAGCTGTATGACTCGAATCTAAGAACAATACACAAAGAAATCAATGGATTTTTTTGCCACTCTAAACATTATTTTGTGGATACTTATGTTTGAGTAGACACTAGTTTTTTTTTTTGTTTTTTTTTAAACAGTGTGAATTACAATCTACCTTGCCTGTGTATTAGAGAGGCTTAATAAAGAAAATGTACTCTCTGGTAGGTTTCAAACCTGCTTCCCCCTTTCTAAGAGAAATCCCATCTGCTCTGGTGGGCTGTGGCACTCTTAGTGACCAAGCAGTCTAAAGTATGCTGGATCAGAATTAAGTTTTTCAAATATATAGGCCAGTAACTCTAATTCATACTGTTAAAAAAAAAATAAAATAAAATGAAAACAGGGCATCTACTCAAACATAGATATCCACAAAATAACATTTAGAGTAGCAGGAAGAGTGTGTATGTGTGTCCATGTCCTTCCTTCTCTCTTGCATACACTTGATGCAAGTATCCAAATTAAAAGAATCATGATAATTCCATTTGTTATGCATCCCAATTTATTATCTGTATTAAAATACAGATAATAAATTGGGTGGAGTGACTAACATTGTATGACTTACATGCAGAGTTAGAATAATAATATTATTTCACTAAATTCTCAAAGAAAACAAACCATTTGCTTTTTGCTCCCTACATATACTCATAAATCTGTTAAAAATTTTGAGAATGTATGCACAAGATATACTCATGGCAACCACCAATCAAAACGTGCATGGAGATTTGTTTTCATTCAATTTCTAACATCTGGTTGTAAATTAAAAGTAACAATGTTAGGACCTTCTACTTTGGGAAAGAAACAATAGAAGATAATGGTTCTTATTTTAAAATGCACAGATTTTAGGCAGGCTTGCATCTGCCTTTAGATAACAGGAGGCCCAAGCAGTAGAGATGACCAATGACAGGGGATAGAGAAGGGTTTGGAAATATACATTAAAAAAAAAAAAAAAAAAAATGACAAGACATTGTTGTTTGACAGATGCAGCATAACAAGGAGAGAAGATTACAGAAATAAATAATAAAAAAAAAAGGAAATAGAAAATCAAGCAAAGATTTTTGAAGAAAAGTTGAAGGTAATTTCTCAGGAAGAAGAAAACTAGAAAAAAAGAAAAAAAAAAGAAAGATGGACTTGGACGATAAGCACAAGTATTTTGAACAGTTTTTTTTTTTAATGTCTTCAATCCTAGTTATAAAATTGATTTTTACAATTTTTTTGCATTTTTATTATTTGCAAAGGAAAAAAAAAAAAAAAAAATTTGTAGAAACAGCAGAGTTGACAATTCAATTGCAGTCTTTTCAAGATTAAATAATAACAAACAGCAATAACCTCTTAAAACTTTCCTAGATTTACATTTTAACACAGCTGCTTCAGTTTTAAAAATATTATATTAAATGAAAACATATTTAAAAAGGATACACAAATGAATATAAAAATGAAAAAAATATTTTAACCTTAAATATTTAATGAAATGAATTTAAAACAAAAAAAGTAGAGATGAAAGGGAGATAACTCTTTGGACATTCTTAAAAAAAAAAAAAAAAAGAAAAAAAAGAACCCCCTGAAATGTTAGCACTCATTTTCATGGTTATGCTTCTCACTGTATTGCTCCAATTTTTTTTTTTTTAATTTATTTATTTATATAAGATGCAGTCTTCTTAGCTGAGATTCTAAATTTAAAAGCTTTACATCTGACGAGATGAATCTGCCATTAAACAAAAATGAATGACCTAATCAAGCAAACTGGATCCCTGTAGAGGAGGCGGATCCTTAAAGATAAAATGAGAGGTTTTTGGGGTTAAAGTATTTCTCAAAGTTCAGATAATTAAGTATGGATGCTTTCATTTACAAATGAGTAAATAGAAATTATAGCAATCACGCATAACAATGGATCTTGCAATAATTTTCTCTTAATATTTGAATTTTGTGCTTTTATTTAAATTTTTTTTTAAAAATGTCTTCAGGACCTGAATTGACAGAATGCAGAATGGTGACATCTATTTGGAACCATTTGTGCCGATTTGCTCATGATTTAAATTTTTTAAAGCATTTATAAATTTTTTTAAGCTGTTGGAATTTTTACTCAAAAGAGCAGGAAGAGTTGAAAGTGTTTGGATTGGCGAGGGTGGGGGTGATAGTTTCTATTCCTAAGCTTCAGCAACAGATATGAATATATATCAGAGCAATACTGCAAAGATTTTCATTTGACAAACTTTTATATTGTTTTTTTTTTTTTTTTTTAATAATACAGTTGTCACAAAAATATTTTAAACAAAAAAAAAAAAATTGATTATTACTTATGAAGTATCATTATAAAATGCAAAAATGTATAATTTTACACACAAACCTAGCCACTAAACAAAGTTGTTTTTTTTTGTTTTTTAAATGAAGTCTTTAAAATAATGAAAACTCAGAAAATATTGCTGCTGAGAAAGAAAAAGAAATGGCACTTTTGGGACTATTTTGCAGATAATTGGTTAGATTAAGAATGGAAAGAACCACTGACCAGCAGTAGGACAACAATCCTAATAAATGGGAAGACTCCTGCCTTTGGTTCTCACCTTGCCTCACTCCCCAACATATGCACTAGGGACTGGATGGAGCATAGGCAAATTAAAGACTTATTTGGAAAGGAACTTTGATTGGCATATTCAAATTAGAAATATGCCAATATGCTTCATTAGAACAATTATGAAGCAAAAACAGATGCACATTAGGCCAGAATCAAGGAACTGTTTTACTTTTAATAAGTATTTGTTAATTTTTTTCTTTTTCTTTTTGTAAAGACAAAATTTTGCTGCCTCTGGAGATCCATCCCCAGTGGAGGAGGCCAAGATGATAAGGAACCATTAGGAGAATTAAAATATGTTGAACAATGATCAAGAAAGTAAAATGTTTTAGGAAGGCAAAAAGAATTTCGAAAGGGACACATTGATTTCTTCTTGGAGATTAAATTTAGAAAATAAAGCTTGATTGAATTTTGGGTGAATTATGAGAGAGAATAGTTGCATTCTGTTGCTTAAAAATTTTTCTTTTAAATAAAATGACAATATGTATAAGTTAGGTAAAAGTTTAAAATTGGTTACTTTCATGCTATATTTGGGTAAAAAACCAAAAAAAAACCAAAAAAAAAAACACACAATTAAGAATTTTGCCTTTGCATAAATTAGATATTTCATTTTGGTAATGGCAATAAATGTTTCCCAGTGTTCAAACCTATATATATATATATATATATATATATACACACACTCTGTGTGTCCCTTTAACATATCTTCAAAAACAAATAAATCAACCCAAATATTTAAAAAAAAAAAAAAAAAAAAAAATGAATGAATGAAACATAAAAATACAAAAATAAAAATAAGTTAGCAAACGAAGATAGTTTACTGTTCAAGTCCAGTGAGATAAAAAAAAAAAAAGAGAAAGAGAGAGAGATTTCTCACCGAGAAGGAGATGATTGGAAAGAAAAAGCCAAGTAGATTAGGGTAGAATATAGGGGCTGAAAAAGGCCATATTGGGTGGCAGAAGGACAAGAACAATGCAAGTCTAGATGTCAGCTATGTCAGTCCAATCAGGCAAGGGGTGATGGAGAATAAGATAAATGTTTCATCATTAACCAGAAAACTGAAGGAGGGGGGGAGGGAATTTTTTTTTTTTTCTTTCAATGTTAGTCTCCCCATTTATTTTTTGTGTTTGCTTTTGTTTTGTTTTTTTTGCTTCCCACAATATTATTTTTGCCATTTTTTTCCTTTGTTGTTGTTTGTTGGAGTTTTAAAAATGTTTGTTTTAACCCCCGACCCCCTCCTTTTTTTTCACATGTGAGTATTTTCAGTTGTCTTATTTAACTGAGGGGGTAGTGGTGGCGGCGGCGGTGGTGTGGGACGTAAAGACAGGCGATTACTAGTGAGACGACTGAACGTACCCACTCCTTCCCTTCCACCTCCACTACCACTGGCAAGAGAAGTAGCGGCCGATGTACTCAAGTTAGAAGAAGAACCAGCAAGCCTGTTGCTATTAGCAACAGCATTCATAGGAACTGGTTGAGCATTGTTAGTAGGACCCCCGAGTTGCCGATCAGCGTGCAATAAAGGATGCTCAGAGGAGGATGCAACACAAGTACCTGGTGGTTGAGAGGCAGAAGTGGGAACTCCAAAACTGCCTGTAGATGCAGACCTGTGGTGACCAGAGCCTGGGGCAATTGGGGGTGGTCCTTTTGGCCTCTCTGGTGGTTGAGGTCGCTTGCTTTCACTTGCCTTCCTCTCCGTTGGTGAAGATTGTACCTTGCTTTTGTCTCGCTCCAATGTTCCATGTCCATTGCTAGTCACAACAGCTGGTGGAGGTGGGTGTGGTGGGGGTGCTCCACCTGCTGTAGTGGACAATGTATTCTCTGTCTGTTGTCCTCCTGCTGTATTTGCTTGTCTTGGCCAAGTCATGGATGTAGTCATTTTGGATTGAGTGAGTGGACTGACGGCTACAGAATGTGGCCGCTCAGGAGGAGGGGGAGGAGCTGGCTTCTTAGCTGGGATTGGTTTGCGTTGGGACTTTGGACTGCTATCACTAGAAAGAAAAGAAGAAAAAACCAAAAAAAAAAAAAAAGAAGAAGATCATGGGAAGCAATTTTTATTATTACATCAAAATTAACAATTTTGGTTTCTAACATGAAATTCTAGTTTTTAACGATCCTAGATTTTTAAAATCTAATTCATCCATGAACAATATGTGTTCAGAAAATATCAGGAAAGAAAAAAATGATCCAAGGGAACTAAGGCACTATTGCTTTAATTGACAATGGTGCCAAATAATTAGTGAAATTTATAAAATCTTTCTCTTAAAACATTTTTCAGTAAAATAGATTTCTCAAGTCCAATAGCTCTTTCTAGTATTGATGGGAGTTTTCTCTGAAAAGATAAGTTTAAGATAATGTGGAGAGTCAATATCTTGATTATGGAATTATCTTCTCTTCAAGTTACATGTGCTATCTATTTTAGTTGTTGCAGCTGTTGGAAGTCTTCAAGTGATGTGGTTTTGATATCTGGTAAGGTTATTTGTGATTCTTTAGCAAGAGAGTCTATGCTATCCAACAAAGAACAGTCTTCTTTAAGACCCACAGGGTTAATTCACTTGAATCCATTTTTAATCATTGATTTGTGAAAATGATTTCATATGGCTGATAGTTTAAACATTTCTGAGTGAGTTTGATGCCATGCATGATAGCCATGTGAAAGTCTTGATTTGACAAGGCTATTTAAGAACATGACTGGAGACTAATGTTTTGTAGCAATTTGTAGTGTTGGCCAAAACTAGCACAACCTATTCTATGTTCACTTCCTTATATCCTAAACTAAAATTGTTATAACTGATCCATACACCAATGTATTTGTCTTTAGTATTTATGTTGGATTCAGGGGAGGTGTCATTGCTACTTTCATTCCAATATCAGATTTGGAAATGTTCATCTCGAGGCCCATTTCCTGGAAGCCTTCATCTCGAGGCCCATTTCCTGGAACACTTGCTAGAGAATGTTGACTTTTTTGTTAAAGATGATTCTTATCACACTTGACTGATTACTTAAAAAAAAAAATAAATAAATAATAAAAAAGGCTGTTTTGAGGATATTCAAAATGGCTGTATATATCCTGGACAAAACTCTTAGGTAAGCAAAAGTAACATGTCAAAAGTTTAACATCTATATAAATTGCATTTACTGCCCCCACTCTAGAAATGAAACATTATAAGGACTGAAAGTAATATATTATATAAAAAATTGCTACTTGTTTGCCATGTACACTTGTCTGCTAGGTACATTAGTGTTTCTTTAACACCTACACAACCAACCTATGGTTTATACTGCAACTTTGCTGAGCAGACTGTAGTTAAAAGTTATTGCCGAAAGTGCATAATCCGGCATGATCAGCAGTTTGAACACGGCCATCATACTCAAACCCTTGGCCACAATGACTTGTGATTTCATGATAACAACCATCAATAACATCTAAATTATTTTGTCTGCCCATTATTACTTCCAAGGTTTGGGCCAAATAGTGGTTTGGTGTTCAGGCTCTTTCTAATGGTGGTACACACATGCATTAATATCAATGTGCACTAAAAATTTTCTCAATGGACTTCTGAAAATGACCAAACATCAAATTTTGTTAGAAGAGCTTCTTGGTTGGGCTAAGAAATTTCAATTACCCAATTGTGTGCACAAATAGGAAAACTTGTTTTTGCCATGCTTTTCATTCCCTCAGGAACTTCAAAGGCAAAATGCAGAGATTTTAAGAAAAATTTGAATTTGTACACAGAAAAAATATTACTTAGAAAATGATGTAATGTGTTCAAATTTAAATTTGAAAGTCTTTGAAAAACCTTTGATGTTATAGAAAGTAAGGAAATTATGGAGGATGCTAAGTGATCTAATTTTTATAATTATTATTTTTATATGCAGTAAGTATTAATAGTGAGATGCAATGAAACAAAACTCTTGAAACAATGTATTGAGATTCAATAAAGTGGAGATAAAAAACTCACAATTAAAACAGAGGCCAATGAACAGTTTAATTAACCCTTTCTCTTTAAATTTTTTTACATGTTCAATGGTATCTATGATTTATTGATTACTCCTGGTATTATATGAAATCATTTTTTGCTCAATATCTTTTTATGTTAATAATTTTATGCTTAATATAACAGTAAAATGGAAATATCTCTTGGAAGAAAAATATTAGCAACAGAAATACAAACACAGCAATGACAAAGGGATTTCAAGATCAAGTTGAAACAAGACAATCACTTAATAGATTGAGTGCCTCACATGAAAGGCTTGAACAAATAAGATTGCAATCTAAGAAACATAGGCATAAAGGTACTGATTAATTAGACAGTTCATTTTGATCAGGAACTTATTTTGTCTAAATGCAGATAAATATTTTTATTTGTATAGATTATTAAAATGACTAAGGGAAGTAATCACTCATAAATTTACTAAATTAAGTAGATTTATCTCCCTTCCTACTGCAGATGAAACAGGAAATATATAAATAAATACACATTGATAATTGTTATATAGTTTGATTTTTTTACAATAGTTTACTGACCGTTTGAGAGGTTGTGAAATGTAATTAAAACTAAGATAAAAAATCCTTGTCAAAAATTATTAATGCTTGACATTACATCATCTCAAAGACTCAATATTAATACTAATAGCCATAGACTGATGGTCTTAGTTGCAATGAAAAGCAATTGAAATTAAGACGTGAGAAATACTAAACAAAAATTAGTAATGGTTAGACAATGCTTCATCAAATAAAATTCAAGATATTACGACTGGTGTAGGAAAGATACTAAAAAGTTCTTGGCCTGTTTGTGAATGGAATTAAAAAAATAAATAAAAATAAAAGAAGGAAAGAGATTACGATGTTTGTTTGATCAGTATATATATATATATATATATGAGAGAGAGAACTATTTTTTTTTCTTACCTTTCAGTAGGAAGATTTACACTTATACAACTTGCTGATAGATTCTGAGATTTTTTGTAGAATTCAGGTGTATAGGATACTTGAAAGTTGGGTTGAGTATGAGACGAACCAATAGCTGGGAGAGTATGACTTGTGGAATTGGCAGATGCAAGCTGCGGTTGGGCCAAAGTGATGGAGGGTGTTACTATTGTTGTCACTGCTGCAGGAACAGAAGCTGAGCCTGCAAACGATGTCGACATCACATCTTCCTGCACCGAGCCTCCAGAACTGCTACTTGCCTCCGTGGATTCCACAAATGTTGCCGAGAAGTCAATCTCTGCAGGAGCCAGGAAATAACAATATGAACAATTAACAACAACAATAATAATACTATCATTATTATGTGTAGAGATTTATATAAAATTAAGTTCTAATAATAGTTGAAAAACATCACATTACATCAATTAATGACAGGACAATATTTATTTTCTAAGCTTCATAGAATATTCATTTAAAATTAACCAACTTAATTTTGACAATTCTTCTTTAAAGACTAGAATCATTACAGAAAGTACACCTATTTACAGTGAGTTAGTTGAATCAAATAATAATTCAATTCGTATCAGGAAGCAATGATGGCTGTCCAAAGTTTTTTTTTTTTTAACTTGTCTTTAATAATTTTTTATATGTTAAGCCAGAGAGAAATACCGACAGGATTCTTTTGTTTGTTTAGGCAAAATAGATCCCAAAACAAAAGTGACATTTCCAAAAATTGGTTCAACTGTCAATATACAACCAATCAAAGAGGAACAAAATGTTTGGAAATAAAACAAACTTTTTTTCTGGCTTATAATTATTAATGAAAACTGTCTAAATTTCTGGGATGAGAAGTTATCATTATTTACATTATTTGCATTCAGACGAATATCTTCATCTTTGTTGTTGTTATAACATTTCAACTGTTGTGCCCTCTGAGTTTCATCAATCTGAGTAACCTACAAGGAATTCTGAACTGAACCCTTTATTTAATCTATGAGGTAGACTGCTCTTGTTCCACAGCCTGTCTAGTGACATCTTGTCTAGTTTTTATTTAATACAGCTTAGTTATTGCTCACCCGTTTCCACCGAATCCAGATACATGCTGCCAGCCCAGGGATTGAAGTCACAATTACTATATAACCAAATTCATGAACCAACACTTTACTCCATAGACAAGCCTAGTGGATTAAATCATTGGTTCATGAGTTCAATCCCTAGGTCAGGCAGTGTGTACTTGAAAGTAGAAACAGAATAGGCAAATAAAAACTACTCAAGATATCCCTACACATGGGCAGTGGAATAAGAATAATCTAAACCAACAGATTAAATAAAAGGTTCAATTCACTATTCCCTGTACATTACTCAGATTGATATACACCTGATGAAAGCCAGAGGGCACAATGGCTGGAATGCACTAACAACAACACAGACAAGGACAATAGTCCAAATGTAAATAACAATCAAAACTTATTTCATTTTTACTAAGTTTTTACTCATTATAAATTAAAATTATCATCATAAAAAAATAAAAATAAAAAAAATCTTCTTATATTTTGTGTTTTCTTTAGAATTTAAGTATTTTTCATCTTTGTATGAAATATTTCTTTTTAAAAGTAACTTCTATTTTTCAATTTTTTTTTCTTGAAAATCAGGGCTTGTTTTCCAGAACTTAATTCTATGTTGGTGAAAGTGAAAGACTAAGAACTTGAATAATTTTAAAGTGTAATTTACAAAAACTGTTTAAAATAATGAATTAAAATTCTCAAATTAAAAAAAAAAAGAAAAGTCAATTTGTAAGAAGTGAATTATTAGTAGATATTTGTGACAATGAAAATAATAAAAGTGACAGTCATAAATATTAGTAGTTAGAATTGGTAGCAGAGTAAGGACAATTTTAATATATGAATGGGAAGAGGGGTTCAGGTGAGAATCTATTTTAAGATTGTGATTTTGAGAGATTACAGAATATGGACAAGGACTAAAATACAGCAATCAAAACTCTTTAGAATTTAATTTTGTGATAACTGATGAAAATTACAGATGTTAAATTAGTTCTTTAAAGGGTGTACCCCTCCCCATCAGTTGTGGCATTTTGAATTATTAAAACGTAAAAGATGTATGTATGTATGTATCAATAATATAGAGACACAAATCAAACCATTAGTGACATATTTCATCATTCTACATAGTGACTACATTCAGAAATCTACACATGAATACTACCAAGTGTCAAAGTGACAGCCATGTATGCTATTGACTGATGAAGATGCATTTCAAACACTTTACAGAAATAATATGATTCAAGTGAGGCTACAAATAGACATTAAAAGTTTCAGGATATGTAAATTCAAGGCTTAAGATATTTTCTTTATTTTATTTTTTTTTTTACCAAACATAGGTAAGCTGTAATCAAAAGTAAGAAAGAAAATAATGTGATAAACAAAGACAACAACAACAAAAAAAAAGTTAATGAGATTAACTTGACTAACATAGAACTAGATGACCCCAAGTTCATAGCTAAATGAAATTAAAGCAGTGGATCTAGCTAGAAGCAATTGAAGAAGACATCTATGCAGACAATTTTCACTCTGTTTAGACACCAATACCAAAATCCTTAAATCAACTACTTTAATATTAAGTAAAAATTCCATCCTTATCATAATAAACATAAATCATTCTGTTATTTTAAGTATTTTTTCAAATGATATGAAAAATTTAACAATTTAAAATCAAATGTTTAAAAAAATAAATAAAAAGCTTGTTATAGTTTTACATTTTATCTTTTATTTGGTGAATTATTTTAAATATTTCTTTATTTGGACCTCAAAATATTTTGAAAGCTTCACCATCTACCCCTCTTCTCCAGTATCAGATTCTTTAAGAATGCAAGTAATCAAGATTCTCCACAGATTCATTATTTCTTTATTATCTGTGAATTACCAGGACTTCTTGGATAAAAATAACGAAGTGATTCCCTATTGCCTTCTCCATGGTTTTGAATTCAGAGTTGTCATTTGCCTAAATAAAAAGCTAGAGGTCACTCGACCCTACAATTTAACCCATATCTGGGGTAAGAAGGGATTCATAAAATAATAGTAACATTATGGGCAGCAGTGCGAAAGTGAATGCAACAGACCAGAATTAGAACCTTGCTCAGTGATTACACTTTCTGTGCTGATAACTAGCTACACATCTTATAGTCTGCTATACCTATAGAAAAATCAAGTTTTTTTTGTAAAAACTTTTAACTTGATATTTAATAGTGATAATGTTGCCAAGTATTTACATTTAAAGCAAGTAATATTTAGTAAATTCCATTAGAAAAATAAGAAATGAGATTTTTTTTTTTTTTTACCATTTGGCTAATTTTAATATTCATTATATTTCTTATAAACAATTAATATTCTGGTCACTCATTATCTTATTTTTCTCCTGAAAGTTAATAGGCAAACAAAAACTAGATAATTTGTTACCCAGTCAAGAGTGAATGAAAAATAAATGTTTTCTCAGCTATACAAGAGAAACAGAGGGTTCCCTCTTTATCAAAATGTAATGATTAACAAGCTGATCTTGCAGATAGTTATTACTGAATATTGTTTAATCCTCATTGGGTACTCCATATTTGTGCCAAAACTAAGATTAATACAATGGCTTGCTGATTATTATTTGGATCTAATAGCCCAAAACCATGACCTTATGCCAAAACTAAGCTTAGGAAAAAAAAAAAAAACAGAGTGCCTGCTGTAGAGTGATGGTTAGCAGGTTTGTTTTACAAGCCATTAATAGTAAGTTCAATGTTCAAGAGATGTTTTACTTTTGGAGCTCTTTGCCAGACTGAGCTGAGTAAATATTTATGAAGGTTGGAACAAGAATACTTTTCATTATATTTTTTAATAAACAAAGTAAAACTTATTGACTTTAATAGTAAAGATATTTATTAGAAATATATAGGATTTTTATTTTAACAATGCAATTCCTTTTAAAAAGGAAATGATTCTTGATACAGACTTTTATATGATCCAATTACTGATAAAGTTAGATTGAAATGTTTCTTATTAACTATGAACTTGGTACAGTAAAGAGAAGAAAAAAAGGAAACATTAAAATTAAAAACTATAACCAACAATCATTCTAAAATACAAAATCTTAACCAATTCAATGGGCAGTTCAGATATTTGAGGAGTACAATTTTCAGAAAAGATTTGGAGAAATTTTTTTAAAGAGAAAAACTTGTCTGCAGAAGTAAAATGATTGAGTAAAAAAATAAAAATTTCTTTAATGGACATTAAAGAAATTTCAAAATAACAGGTTCATTTAATATCTTAATATTCTTTTTCTTTAAAATGATATAATTTTCTTTTTTCTAAATTACTTTTTATTAAAATTTCATGTTAAATTGATCTTTTGAACAGGAGTAGAGGTTTATCTCTTATTTCCTGTTTAGGATTGGTTTCTGGTTCCTTGTAAAGTCTTTTCATTCTCTTTCACTCCCAGTAGCCACTTGTATCTTAGTGGCATTATTGACTTGCTTAGAGTAAACTGGTTAAAAAAACAAACAAACTTTTTATTCTATTAAATTCTATATATTCAATAAGAGTGAAGCTTAGAGAGAAATTTAAAACTATTGTACCTTCATATATATCTTTATGCTTTATTAGGTTCTACACAATGTTGCATTTCCAAAGACAAAATAAATAAAAAAAAAAAAACCTCAAGTGTCCAAATTTCAACATCCAATATTATTTTATGAACAACATAATATTTCCAGATCAAAACAAGACCACATGGTTTTCTTTTGTTAACCTTTGTCAATAATTCTAAGAATCCCTGTATCAGGATACAAAACGTCAGTAACATATCACATTTTGCTACCAAAGGTGGTTACAGGAATTCTCCTAAACTAAAGGTGAATATGTATTCATAAGTTAAGAGGAGATTTCCAGCTCTAAACTTTAGTACTTAGTTAGTTCATTAGACTATAAAACCTCATTAGGTTAGCTTGAGAGTAATTACCACAAAAACATATCTCTAAATACATTAATTCTTATATCCTTTTGTACACATTGTTTTTTGACTTTTGTTATATTGAATAAATGGTTTCTTCATATAAACCTGTGTTCATGTTTAATTCACACCCTTTTTTGTATTTCTTTGTTGGGGCTACTTACCAAGTTCATCTATAACCAACACCTGGATATTTTTTACTAGGTTACTATCAAAAGTGTCTATTAAATGATTGCTAATGCTGAAATCCAAGACAAATTCTAATCTGAATTGTAATGTGTGCATTTAATTTTG